TATATATAATGTACATCATAATCATTCAGAAGGTGCCATACACAAAAAGTGCCACTAGGGGGAGCCACTAACCTTTCAGCCAGTCATGAATCCTTCGTCATGTATTTCCACTTTACTTGTAACGGTACAACGTCTCTTATAGGCAGTGCACCACTGGAATAAAGGCAAGGCATGTTTTTGTGTATAGCACATTTCATCCTCAGAGGCAGCTCAAGGTTCTTTATGTAATGAAGTTTTTATATGAGACATGGGTAAGAGAAATGAAAGAGCACAAACTTATTTTTTCATAAAGAAGTTTAAGGGTACAAATCATTTAGTTTCAGTATCAACAGCAATACACTTTTACAACAACTAAACAAAATAAATGTTGCCTTAAATATCAGACAAGTTGCCTGTATTAAATGTACATTAAATGTTAGGAAATGTCACTGTCAGTACAGGTTTGTTTAGATAATTAAAATCTCTGTATTCTCATGTTTGCTCACTTTGATTAAAGGGATAAAATCAACAGCATATTTGTCACAAATCTCATCTTTGTTGTGCACATTACAGTACATTGGCACACACAATGACTACAGTTTTTGCTGTGTTTATTTGAGTGATGGAAACTTGACTGATCATTCTATTTTTATGCTTAATGGCCTCATAGAGGGCCAGCTTCTCTTTAAGTGCCCAATCATCCAACTAACAATACTTCAAGGTAGAGTATGTAGGAGCTATATAGGGCAAACATCAATAATGGTGCATACAGAGACTATTAGCTGCTTCACCTTCATTTGTTTCCACTTTTTGAACAGTAAGCAAACTAGTCAAAGTTTGGAGAGTTCACAGCACACAAGCAGATCTGTGATTTGAGAACTGGAGTTGCATGCTCAGTTTTTTTTTGTCTCATTAAGAACAGAGCTCTGAATGGGCTGTAGCTGTCTGACTGACCTTTTGGAGAGTCCTGCTGGAACACGATTACAGTAGCCCACCCTAAAAATAAATAAATGCATCGACACGGTTGTCTTCATGCCAACTTATGTGAAGGTGATAATACTAAATCTGAAATATATGTCCAATCCAAGTTAGTTATTCAGGATTCAAAGTGAGCGCTGACTTCTTAACTTTATTATTTGGCAAAAGGATGTTTCCTTAGTTTAGCTGAATTCAGTTATGGCTCATTATTCACTTGTTCTGTGTACTTTTTCAGTAGTGCCATAGGAGTATAATTATTCCATATGCCCTGGGTGAACACCACATATTTATTGTTCTCTAAAATATGTTACAACCAGTATTATGCAATTATAGGACTAGGCAAATTTAGGCCTGTGCTACAAAATCCAACCCAGTTTTCCAGCCTGTGTAATAAGATAATGTCAGTGATTGTGTTGAATGCAGCAAACACAACAATAACCCTGTTACTGGGATTTTGCCAAAGTCTATAATTAAATCAGTGTCACTTAAAATCTTGACACGAGCAGTCTTTGTGCTGCAGCCTAGTTAAAAGACCAGACAATAACAGAACTGATATTTGATGGCAGCAGAGAGCTGAGCTTTTAGAAAGCTTTTTTTCTTGTAAATTCACACTTGAAAACAGTAGTTTTGTAATGGGTGTGTAATTGTCAATTGCATCTAGATTGCTCTGTTAAAAAAAAGAGACATCATAACTTCTGTTTTCAAACTCTTTGAGAGACAACTCGGTAGACTAGACCTGTCGACTATCTGCAGTAGATCTGATGCCAGTGCAATTAAAATGATATAAAATCTTATCTTGTTGGCTGTTGAAATAAGAAATAAAATATAAATGAGGAAGGGAGTGTTATCAGCTTACTCACAGTGGTAATTGTATCAATCATTGTGTCAGTGATGACAGACAGAAATAACTGTCTGTGTGAGTTTGATAACACTGTACTTTGGGTGGCATGATGGCACAGTGGTCAGCATTGTTGCCTGACAGTAAGAGGGTTCATGGTTTGAAATGGGGCAGTTGAACCTGGGGGTGGAGGACCTTTCTGTGCAGAGTTTGTATGTTCTCCTTGTATGTACCAAACAACAACAAAATAAATAAATGTGTGCAAGATCCAAGTGTACAGAGTGGTCGGGTTGTAAATTCCTGTCTTTAATGTCTCAATACTATGATTCGAGTAGTTAAAGGGGCACCAGTATGTTATGACATTAAGGTTTAACTCAAGCAAAGGACATGGTTCCTATGTTTCTTATAAAAGGGGACCAGTCTGTATAAAACTTTGAGATCCCCCTAGTGACTATCTTACTCTTCCTAATTAAAGAGGCCGCAGCATCTCTCTAGTCCATTGTATAAATGAGGGAGACTTTGTTGATTTCCAGTAGAGTAGGATGATATGACAGACCAGGAGAGATGCAAATGCTACAGCGTTATTCTGATGGGCAAATAAGTTCACCTCTGATTTTGCCACATTAAAGATGGCAGTGAAAGTTTTGTTTTTTTTACCACACACGTGAGAAGGATTAAAAAATACAGTTCAAGAAGCTTTTTAGTACCGGACATGCTCAAAACATGTGGCCCAGAGTGGCAGGACTTTGATTACATTTGGGGCATTCAGGATTTACAGAAGGTAATATTTTAGCTAAAGTGTCACGGTGGATGACCTTGAACTGTATTAATCCATGTCTTATACAGAGGGATCATAATTATTTTTATTATTATTATTGTTAGATTTTATTTGGTATGGACATCACAATTACATTGGACAAACCAGATGCTCTGCGTCAGTGTTTTAGCATACATGCTAATTCTCAACACTTGTCCACAGGAGGCTTTTTAAAAAGTACAGACAATGAAATATGCATTAACATTACAAGGGAAAACAACATGAGCTACAAAGCAAAGACAACATAATCCAAGAACAGAACCAGACCTGACCTATTCATGTGGGCACTGTTGTTTAGATTTGAGCCATAGTTTGAGTCCTCTGTTAAAAATATTGCCACATGTCTCTAATGTTAAATTAATAGGAAAAGAGTTGCAGAGTTTTGCCCCCTTCACAGAAAAAACAGACTGACCAAATGAGGTGTTGTGCATTGGGACCAGACAATCACCACTGGTGGAGGCTCGTGTGGTTGCTCTACCAGATTCCTAACTACTTAAGATGCTCTACCAGATTCCTAACTACTTAAGAGAGGGATGAGGTATGAATGCGGGCTGTAATTATTATTGATAAAAAAAAAAAAAATCCACACCACATACACCCTCTAGTGCAGTCACCCTCTAGTCCCCCCCCCCCCCCCCCCCCCCCCCTGGGTCAATTGTTGAAAAATGCTTAAGTGCCCTCTTGGGAGCCAAAACGCACGCTTAAGTGCCCTCCTGGGAGCCAAAGCGCACGCTAAAGTGCCCCCCTGGGAGCCAAAACACGCATTAAAGTGCCCTCCTGGGAGCCAAAGCGTGCACTAAAGTGCTCTCTTGGGAGCCAAAGCGTGCGCTTAAGTGCCCTCCTGGGAGTCAAAACATGCGCTAAAGTGCCCTCTTGGGAGCCAAAACACATGTTAAAGTGCCCTCCTGGGAGCCAAAACGTACGCTAAAGTGCCCTCTTGGGAGCCAAAACGCGCACTAAAGTGCCCTCCTGGGAGCCAAAGCGCACGCTAAAGTGCCCTCCTGGGAGCCAAAACACGCATTAAAGTGCCCTCTTAGCAGCCAAAACGTGCGCTGAAGTGCCCTCTCGGCAGCCAAAATGCCCTCCTGGGAGCCAAAACACGTGCTAAAGTGCCCTCTTTGGAGCCAAAAAACACACTAAACTGCCCTCTTGGCTGGTTAAAACATGATGAACTGCCCTCTTGGGTGGTAAAAACGCATGCTAAAGTGCCCTCCTCCTGGTTGGCAAACTTGATTGATTGATTCATTGATCAATCCCTGCCACCTGCAGCAATGGAGCAGCACTTATGTCCATGCTTAATCATAGTTTGTTTGAGGTGTCAAATAAGTATTTTAAACGTGTATTGTTCCTTGTGTGTTTTTATCACAGAGCCATCTTGGGTGGAAAAACACAGTAAACTCCAGAAGACTATTAGGACCAAGAAATACTATGAAACATTACTGATGTAATGACTTTTATGTTGGGCCCTTTTTTGATCTAAATTGAGCCAGAACTATATCTCACAGAACCAGTTTGGATCATCTGGTGCTAATATGGTGTTAAAATGCACTAGAATACAGGAAATGGCATCTACTTAATTGAAAATTTTCAATGTTGAATCTACACAGTTCTCGTGGTGCTGATCCTCACTACAAACTAATCTGAGTAGTCTGTCTAGTTAGTCTGTTGTAAGGCTATATAATGTGCCATTTGTATAACATATAAACATGTCGAAAGTGCCCTCAAAAACACGCGGGACTTAGTGCCCTCTTCAGTGGCTGTATGTGCCCTTTTTTTTCTTTTTGCCCCTGCCCTTCAAAAAGTCTGTGCACGCCACTGCACTAGTGAGAATGGTGCAGATAATCCAATAAAGCACATAAAAGGCTCCTGAGTACACTGTCTTTAGAATGCAGCATACATGTTAAGGAAACATGATCAAGTATGACCTTATGTCACTGTGTTTTAATTTGGGATTGTGTCTGTTACCCAATTTAGAAGTATACACTTTCATTTACAGAGATTCCAATGTAATGTAATGTGCCCTTTTAGTATCTTTAACAATGAAGTGTTTATAATATTGTTTACTTCAACAGAAGTTCTTATTTGTGTCATGTGTGGTGTGTCTACACATCACACTGGTGTACCTTCCCTCTAAAGGTCGCTTTGTTTTTGGCTCATACCTGTCACTGCAGCGCCACTGCTCCTAGTACCCGCCTAACTAGTTCAAGTTTCGGTGTGCGCCGGTTAGGATAAAAAGGGGACCCCATGTGAACGTCACCCGAAGACGTCATCCAATCAACAGGTCGTTTTCTCCGGATTGCCACGTATTTGGTGAAATAAAAAGCTGTATTTTATGTAGGCGTACACC